TCAGACACTCTCAGACTGTCACGCAGTCTATATCCACAGTCAGACACTCTCAGGCTGTCACACACTCATCCACGGTCAGACACTCTTAGACTGTCACACACTCTATATTCATGGTCAGACACTCTCAGACTGTCAAGCAGTCTATATACATGGTCAGACACTCTCAGGCTGTCACGGACTCTGTATCCACGTTCAGACACTCTCAGACTGTCACGCATGCTCTAACCATGGTCAGACACTCTCAGACTGTCACACATTCTCCATCCATGGTCAGACACTCTCAGACTGTCACGCAGTCTATATCCACAGTCAGACACTCTCAGACTGTCACACACTCCATCCATGGTCAGACACTGTCAGACTGTCACACACTCTCTATCCACGGTCTGACACTCTCAGACTGTCACACATTCTCCATCCATGGTCAGACACTCTCAGACTGTCACGCAGTCTATATCCACAGTCAGACACTCTCAGACTGTCACACACTCCATCCATGGTCAGACACTGTCAGACTGTCACACACTCCATCCATGGTCAGACACTGTCAGACTGTCACACACTCTCTATCCACGGTCTGACACTCTCAGACTGTCACACATTCTCCATCCATGGTCAGACACTCTCAGACTGTCACGCAGTCTATATCCACAGTCAGACACTCTCAGACTGTCACACACTCCATCCATGGTCAGACACTGTCAGACTGTCACACACTCTCTATCCACGGTCTGACACTCTCAGACTGTCACACATTCTCCATCCATGGTCAGACACTCTCAGACTGTCACGCAGTCTATATCCACAGTCAGACACTCTCATTAATGGTCTCTAAATCCCTGTTGAGACAGAAGTCTGTTTATTTATGAAATCAAGGCTAATTAAGCTCACACAGGGCACACATGGGGGCCGATGCCAGGTTGTGTAATACAATAAGATTTTCCCCTAAATTTGGCAAATCTCCGGCCAGTCTCACACAATCTCTGGTTTAGTGAAAATCTGGTTATAAAACAGTACCAGGTGCTCACATGCTCTTTATGGTCTGATGATCTCACTACCCCAGAGGGTCCGATACTTTTATCAGTGCCAGGTAATGCCATGCTGTCAGACTCTGTGGCGGTCACTCACATCCTCTCTCTCCATACCATACATAGAAACAGTGCTGGCTGTCTGTCTGTCCCCGGGAGGGAGCATCGTCAATGGAATCTTTTTCAATTTCAAGAAAATGTAAAAATAAAAGTGAGAATGCAGAAAGCTGAACGCAAGTCATGTTTTCTTCGTAAATTGAATTTAGAAATTGTCTGATCTTTGGTCATTGTTTCATATGCTTCTTGGAGATAATGTTTGGGACGCTTTTTTTTGTGGATGTGATACAGAGATTTCAAACCCACACACCGCTCTTCAATAAGAATATATGTGACGACAAATCCGCGGTTTTCACTTTTACACCGACTGTCCTCCTACAGACATATTTATAAACACGAAGCTGGAGCAATTATTGGACAAATATCTTAATTTGGTGTAATTGGTAGAAACAACAGATTGTGTGGGTAACAGACTTTAATTAGGAGAAAGACTTAATAATGCTAATGGACGTGATTACTTTAGAACTGTTTCAATAAAAAATTAGATACTGTGACTCCTTGGGACAAGACTGCAGTTTCCAACGAGTACTGAAGGGGCGACGGTTTGTGCTTTTAGTGTCGATCGCTGGTCCTTTGACCGACCATTAATAGCAGGAAGTGATCAACAGGATTCCAGAGACACATGTCAATCTAGCAGTTTTCGAACATTTCGTCTCGTTTTCCTATGCTCAATATGTCCCAATGAGCTCTGACACCCGTCTCATGAATCGAAATTCCTACGTAAAGGATGAAAGACGTGGAGTGCCGCATAATCAATGATCACATATAAAGTACCTTCTGTGGGCATGTTTTGTGTCCAGTTACCACCAATTCGTGGAAATGTAGCTGATCTGATCATGAATTCAGTGCCACCTGTTGTATAGTCCAGTATGAGTATAATACTGGCCTTTGTTTTATAAACTAAAATGTGGTTATATCTTAGCTCTTATTTCCCATGCCCCCATTAAAATGTGCTTATTATAACAAATTGTTGACCCTGTCTTATGCTTCTGATTGGCTAAAAGAATTGATCGACATTTTCCCATGATCCTCCAGACACCAAGAAATGATCCTGTAAAGTCAATCGAGCCAGGATTGCTCTGTAAGCTGGGCACACACGTACGGTCATAAATTAAAGATGGAGGGATGACAGGAAATTTAAAGCAAGCCTGGCATTTAGCAGAGCACTAACCAAGAGCTAATGACATTTCAACGAATTTGAAAGCAAAAAACATGAAAGTTGAGTTTTAGACTAGATTGTCTGCTTAGAAAAGGTTTTGTACTTAGTGTGGCTCTGTGATAAGGCTGGCAGTGTATGCTAAGATGTGTCCGAATGTATCAAACTAAGTTGCAGGGAGGCATTCAGGGACACAGTGCATGGAACACGACAGATCCATATTGACGGTTAAAGAGACAGTCACAGGATTAGTAGCATATAGAAATTCAGCAAGTGCAGCTCTGTATACTCAGATCATTGTAACCCAAGGACAGCGAACAATTCAATACTTTTTTATGGGGTGCTAAGGGAATGCGGGGATCAGGCTTTTACCTGATGGTAAAAGTGTTTGTAGTGCGACTTTTCTTGAGGCACGGCAGCCAAATTAAATTATTATTTAACTGAAAATAAAAAGATACAATTATTTATATATCCCCTGCGTTTTTAATGACTGCAATAGTTCTTTTTTTTTGGGACTGCCTTATCCCTCGAGTGTTGCCCTTTATTACATTTAATTAGTGTCCCTGCTTGTAATTAGTTTTTTTATTTTTATACAAGCAGATCATGATCAGCGGGAGAATGAAAGTGGATCTGTCATCATCCGAGGTCTTTACATAATTTGTAAATAATCCCGATGGTGACATCGCCGCTGGAGGTATGATGGCCGTGGGCGCAGGGAAAGGTGAGATTTACTTACCTGAATCTGTCCCGCGCGGCGCTGCCATTATCTTCCATTTGCTCCTCACACAGGACACTTTTTTTGGAGAGGACACTAATTTATTCTGTCAGATAATTTGAGGGCTTTGAGAGCTTCACCACTTGGCAAATAATTTTGTATCAGAACCAGCGTTACTGGGGTTTGAAAACGCCAGGTTTTTTTCATTGTTGTTGGTCGATGACGGTCCACGAAGTAAGCTTTAAAGCAGAGACAGGGAACCTTCAGATAACGTGGATTTCATATCCCCAGATTCTTTGCCTGACATATGGCTGTAATAGCATTATGGGAGATGCAGTTCACAACATCTGGAGTGCCGACCATTGCCAGCTTAGATAAAAAGCAGCATAACATCCACTGAGAGGTAAGGCTGGGGATCAGTTTTGTCAACGCTGCTTATATGAATGAGTGAAATAATAAATCCCCCAAAATCTATCTGCTTAATGGCCAGGAACTCTGATATACAAGTAGGATTTTTTTGTTTTTGTTTCTCGGACCAACCAATTTAACGTCAGATATCCTTCTCCAGGATTCCACACTATTCAGGACCCTCTGTCCCACCAGGAAAGGGTACACACATCCTTCTGTAAAGCACAATGCTAACATAAACCCTGTTTAACCAAACACTGCTTAGACTCGTATGCCCCTTGAGACAAGAACTCACTGTAGGATCTTCATAACATAAAAACGTAATTACTCCAGGTTTTACAACCAGGGGACTTTGACAAATTAAAATGAGAGGACTAAATTTATCAAGATCACAGTGTGCGTGCACCTTACTGACGTTCGCATTCATTAGCATCCTAATTAACTTAATCAAGTTTTCAAGGCAGGGAAAATGGAGAAAAATGACAGAAGGCGACATAAAAGCTGACAGACACCATTATCATTCGCGTGGCACCTGAACTCCCTATTGGCTGCGTGGAACTGTTCTCCGAAATGCGGACTGATACACCCGGGGTTATGAAGTGTTCTCTGAAATGCAGGCTGATCTACCTGGTTCTCTGAAATTCAGGCTGATACACCTGGGGATATAAGGTGTTCTCTGAAATTCAGGCTGATACACCCGGGGTTATAAACTTTGTGTTCAGAATTTTTTGTTTCTGTGTTAATTATACACACATCAACTTTTACATGAATCCATACAGTTGGCTAAAATGAGGTTCTCCTCTAAGGTTCTATGTACTGAATGACAATGACTTAATGTGAGTCTCACCATTGAAGAGTTAGGAATCTAGGAACTTTCGAATACATTGCATCAGACCACCAGAAGATGTTTCTCACTGTTATGACTCGAGTCATACAGGAATTATCTAGATCATTAAACACAGCCACGTGGAGACTCTTAGTTTAATCAAAATTTTTAAGCTGATAAAGAAGGTTAGGAACTATGGAATTGTATCTTCAAAATAGATCCGAGTTTCTACTGGATGGACTACAATGCCTGAAAAAGCTAATTCCCATGATTTCATGTTTTGGATCAGCCGTGGCCTGGGTCAAACACTGGTCCGAATGTATGGACAATATATACACTGAGTCAGTGACATTGATTCATAGTGGATTCATAAAAGCATTGCTTATTGTTAGGAGGACAATCTATTAACCAAAATGGCTGACTCTGTAATGCTTTAGCCAAAAACATGTCTTCCAAACTGCTCACTCCTAGCTTCACACAGTGCTGATTGCTAACTCTTAGCTTCACACAGTGCTGAGTGCTCACTCCTAGCTTCACACAGTGCTGATTGCTAACTCCTAGCTTCACACAGTGCTGAGTGCTCACTCACAGCTTCACACAATGCTGAGTGCTCAGTCCTAACTTCACACAATGCTGAGTGCTCACTCCTAAATTCACACAATGCTGAGTGCTCACTGCTTGCTTCACACAATGGCGAGTGCCCACTCCTACCATCACACAATGCTGAGTGCTCACTCCTGGCTTCACACAATGCCAAGTGCCCACTCCCAGCTTCACACAATGCTGAGTGCTCACTCCTAACTTCACACAATGCTGATTGCTCACTCACAGCTTCACACAATTCTGAGTGCTCACTCCTAGCTTCACACATTGCTGAGTGCTCACTGCTAGCTTCACACAATGGCGAGTGCCCACTCCTAACATCACACAATTCTGAGTGCTCACTCCTAGCTTCACACATTGCTGAGTGCTCACTGCTAGCTTCACACAATGGCGAGTGCCCACTCCTAACATCACACAATTCTGAGTGCTCACTCCTAGCTTCACACATTGCTGAGTGCTCACTGCTAGCTTCACACAATGGCGAGTGCCCACTCCTAACATCACACAATGCTGAGTGCTCACTCCTGGCTTCACACAATGCCAAGTGCCCACTCCTACCATCACACAATGCTGAGTGCTCACTCCTACCATCACACAATGCTGAGTGCCCACTTTAATATTTTGATTCAATGAACTAATGTTTAGCGACAGAATTAAAAATGAGAAATTGTACCATTTCAGCGAGGTTCCCTGTGTTAGCTTTATTCAGATCTTTGGGTTGCAGGTGGGTTGTTGATCCTTTTGCGGGGTTGTCCTTTCAGTTTGGGTCCAGATGGTTACATTTTGTCTGATTCCCATTGTGGCAGACTGCCTGACACCACGACTGGGTACCTCCGCCAATCGCTACTTCCTAGTATCACCGAGTACCATAAGCACCGCACCGGACAACATAAGCACCGTAGACCCCTTAGCCGCCGCAGCTTGGCTGGGGTCTCGACATCCCTTCCCACCCTGGACCAACACCTGGATCGAGCTCCCAGTGGGAAGACCTCTCCTCCAAGAGAGTATAGCTGTATAGCTCTTAAAAGAGCAAGTGATTATAGCAATCCAAAGAGCAGGGGTATAGCTTTCTCCCACACACATGAGACAAGGCTCTATGCTGGGGTGAACTGGTTTATTGGGAGCCACACATGGCCTTTTATGCACTCCCCATGCAAGAGGTTTCCTAAATTACATTCCAGGGGCATTTCCTGCCGGACCTGAGAGGAGACTGCTGCAAAAAACACATCTAAATAAAATTATCTCCCCGTTCAGAAAACATGCAATATAACAATACCTGAAAAGTACCCCCAAACACACAAAAGTCACATCCCCTGATAGCCCCGATCTGGGTGACCAACATATCCAAACATCATCCA